AAAAAAAAAAAAAACACAAAATATAACCGAAAGTCTGTAGCCGCTACCTTCAACTTCCGAGCACACACTTTTATGGGAGCTTAAGCAAACGACAAAACCTGACATAGACCCTTATTCTTGAAATCCGTGGCATGAGAACCCCAAGGAAGGTACACCCCTAACTAGCCCGCAATGAAGGGTCGGGGCTGAGGGCCTGAGTGTTTGAGTAAATGCTTTGCGGGGCTTACGGTTTTGAAGCTTTCGTGTCAAGCCAGAGCATTAAGGGATTTGCGGCTTTTATGCCTGAGGGTTTAGGGTTCAGGGTTGAGGGTGTAGGGTTTAGGATGGATGAGCACAGGGTACTCTCTGAGATTCTTCCAAGCGTCCTTGAATGTCTTGAGGTACTCGACGCACTTCGCGTCATTGGCAAATCTGCGCATGGACTCGACGATGGCATCCTCACCTTCCATAACCTGTTGAGATTACTTGGGGGTGTGCGGAGTCCATGGTTCGGATTCGGGCCGTGAGGAGTACGAACGTCATGACCACCCGACCCTGGCATGGATCATGATGATGCCGTAGTAATCACGGTACTAACGATCATGATCATAATGATGCTGGTGATGCAGGCTGGTGGTGGTGATGCTGGTGATTCTCGTAATGGTGAAAATTCTGACCGTGGTGGTGGTGAAGACGAGGATGGTGATGCTGCTAGTGATGAAGACGCTGTCGGTGATGATGGTAGTGGTGAAAATGAAGAAGTGGTGATAATGATGGTGATGATGATGATGTTGATGATGATGATGATGGTGATGACGGTAACGATCGCAGTGGTGATGGTAATGCTGTTAAAGGTGGGGATGATGATCGATCATGATGATGATGATGATGATGCTGATGATGCTGATGCTGGTGCTGATGCTGATGAGATGAGAGGGAATCAGTCGCGCTGCTACGTGCATCAAGGCTCCGATTTCAAGGAGGCGGGACTCAAAAACCGATTGCTGCCTCCTGCGCTGTCTTCTGGGAGGCCATGTACTCATTGCGGCGGCATGTCCTCACTTGCAACACCTAAAAGGATTGGGAATGGCCTTATGTGACTAGCAGCAGGCTTAAGAGTTTCGCATGCATCACTACATGCCTTAGCCGCACTTCGTTTTTCGCCTCAAAAAACCTGAAGCGGCCAGAGGCCTGTCGAGACGCCCGCCATCATCGGACTGCTCTACCGTGTACGCACAAGGTAAGGCGTGGCGACAATCATGAGACTCTCCACTGTATAGCAAGTCTGCGAAAATCAAAACATCCTGGATGCTGCAATGGCGTGAGCAGAAATAGTAGGGGGGTTCCTTCAGAATTTGCAGCAGTAGGTGCAGTAGGAGTTGCTTCGATAAAATGTCAGGACAAGCACAAGACCAGACCCTAGAGTCTAAACCGTGGCTCCGAGCTTTTGAGAGAAGCTTTTAAGCACACGAGCCAGCTATGAAGACGAGGTAAAGCAGTCTAGATGCAGGGAAGGAAAGATGCACCAGGGCAGACGCAGACAGGAGAGCATGAGTCCAAAGAAATGAGCTCAGAGCTTTGAGGTATTAGATGGAAAAGCCTCAAAAGGCTGGCATATTGTGATCCTGATGCTGCCAAGTTTCTTTGCCACCATGCGGTTCAAGAGGTGCCACATGGTGTAGCACCACCTGGGACTCTCTGATGCTTGGTGACTTACTGTTGTTGTGCGAGTACGACATGTGTGGCTCCTTACACTGTCGTACTCCCACTGTCATTGCTACATGCCGACAGGGACAGGTGCTGAGATTTCTATGTAATGTCCCCAAGTCCTCACGACACGAGGAGTAAACATCTATGTCCGATAACAACTTAATACGCGCCCGCCTAATCGTGAGGAAAGCATGTGTGCAAAGATGCAGCAGATAACCAGTCAACCCGAGGTGCAAAGTCCAATAAAGGCTCGCTATGGTGCATTATGATACATCATGATGTAGGACAATATACTACTTCATTGGAAGCGTATCTTGTAGCAGAATGAGCATCACGTCATGTGCCGTAGCCTACAGCCCGGTTTTGGAGGGGGTTGGGTGTGGGGTAGGGTGTAGGCCTTAACGATTGAAGGTTTGGGGTTTAGGCTTATCGTGTAGGGTTTAGGGCTGGCTGCGGCCTCTATAACTGGAAAAGGCTTCTGGGCTATGTGGTATCAGATGAATACCACACCATACTGATACCAAGGAACCCTGAGGACTCGTTCGGAGTTGTATTTCCAATCCTTCAGGATTCAGGCTTAGGGTTTAGGGTTTAGGGTTTAGGGTATTTCTGGTCCTTCAGGATTCCATACTCTGCCACCAAGCGTCATGGAGGTTCCGAAGACCTTCACACCTGGTCTTCACCGGAGGCTGTAATGTAGGGGCCTTAATCATTGCCTATATTGTTTTGGGGGCTCCTTATTATAGTTATAGTATAATGGGCCCCAAAACCCTATTCTAACTATTAAGGCCTCTATACTAATGTCATAGTTATACCATAAAGGAGCCCAAAACCCTATGCTAATTCTTAAGGCCTCTATGCTAGGGCTTAGAGTTTAGGGTTCGGGGGCTCAGCAGTGAGCTGGAACTGTAGCCTCGACGCCACAAACCCCGTGCAATTCCGCGACCAAAGCCCCACTAACACGCCCTCAGAGATTTTAGAACATGGGTTAGGGTTTAGGGTTTAGGGTTTAGGGTTAAAGGCCCTCAGAGATTTCAAAACATGGGTGGTTTTCTAAATTCGGGTCCCTTTGCAGGTCCCCAATATAATACGGCACCCTTATAAAAAGGACCTCCAAAGGAACCCTGATTTAGAGAACTACCTTCATACCATAACTTCTAGTGGCTCAAAGGCTTACTTAGCCCTAAGCAGCAGAAGCAGCAGCAGCAATAGCATAATTCCTAAACCCTAAACCCTAAACCCTAAACCCTAAACCCTAAACCCTTCTGCTTGGGGAGAGTATGAAGCGACTTCTTGATGGTCGCAGCTTCCAAGCTTGGGGCTTCGAGGTGTTCAAAGTTCAAAGGACCCGCCGAAGCAAATCTTCGGGTTTAGGGTTTAGGGTTTAGGGCTTAGGGTTTAGGGTTCAAAGTTTAGGGTTTAGGGTTTAGGGTTTAGGGCATCATGGTCCAGCGCAAAGCTCAAGCACCCTGTGGACCCAAAGAGAGCCCTAGAAAGCAGGGAGACTCCTCCCAAGAGTCTGCTCGGTAAGATCGGAATTCATCCTGTGCCCTTGCAGACGTGGAGCCTGCCGCGCTTGACTGGCCTCCCCTAACATGTCAAAGGGAACCCGAACCCCAACACCGAACCGCCCTCCCCCATCCAGGACAACAGATCTCAAGCCCGAGGCCGTAAACGATAAACTCCGAGACCCGAGCCGAAGTAATAGTTGAAGAAAGGGAAGGTCTTGAAAATAAAGAGGCCGGTTCCAAACATCCTGGGCTCTCATGGTGGTGCGGGGAGGGGTGGGGCAGAGTTCGGTTTCAGCAGAAGCAGTCGAAGTAGCTGTAGTTTGTCGTAGCAGTTGTCGCCGTCCTCGCAGCAGCAGCAGCAGCAGCAGCAGCAGGAGGAGGAGCAGTAGTAGTAGTAGTAGTAGTAGTGGTAGTAGTACCACCACCACCACCAACAACACCACTGCAACCACCACTACTG